GGGGGGGGGGGCGTCTTCCTCAATACACCACTTAATGAGAACAGACTGACTCTTTCTCCCTCCCCTCTGCCTTGGTCCAGCCATTCTACTCCCCCTCCTCCTCCTCCTCCTCCTCCCCCCTGGTTCTCTACTTCTTCTCTCTCCTCTGCCCATTTCCATCTGTTTGGAGACAAAGGGCCACGAGCCAGCTCCGGCCCCGGGACCCTGCTGGTGAAGTAGGCAGGGATAATACGGCCCATCCCGGGGGCTGCATTTCAACACATGGACCTGGCTTTGTACTTGTGCAGCACGAGCACCCTTCAGACCGCCGGGACGTGCACGCACGCGCTTCCCGACGTGCACACGCGCACGGCCTGGTGAGAGGCGGGGAGGAAAAAGAGGGGGAGACTGTGGCCGCAGCCACGCTGACTGGGGAGTTCTCGCCTTGATTGTGAACACTTCCACAATGCCCAGCGACGTGCAGAATAAAAGAGACGGCAGAGAGAAGGGGGGAGAAAAAAGGAGCACAAAAAGCCCCGAATGTTGTTCCTAATGCTGCGAACATATGGCCGTTTGTGCGGCGTGCTCCTTCTCCCTGTCCAATCCTCGGAGTGGAGCGCGGACAGGCTTTCCCCCGGCTCTGAGCGGGGCCTCTATACCTGAACGACGATGAGGAGGAGAAGGATCTCCGAATGCTACTAATGGCCGATGTCTAATCCCCCCTGCCGTCTGCACACACCTCCCGACATATGGTCACTCCCTCGGCCTCCGCCCGTTACATAAGCCACACCGTGGTGCGGGGAGCGTGGGGGGGGGGGTTTGTGGTTAAAACGTGGCGCTTTCTCACACGGCCCACTCTGTCAGCCAGGCTGTTCGGTGCCCCTCAGCAGGCCGGGCTTCGCCTGTCACTTTTCTTCCCTCTGCCCCCTTATGAGGGGGGCTTTGTAAAGAATAAATTGAAGGGGACTGATGCTGCGGCAGATTTCTGGGATGAGGGACACAAATGGCCTTGTGGTGCTTCACGGCAATGTACAGATGGACTCCCCCCTATTCAATAAGCTCGAGCAGAAGTCTGTCTTCATGCTCTGCCAGAATCCGAGCTTGTTTTGTCTTCTGAAGAGGATGGGCTGTTAATGCGACATATTGGCCTTTCTTTTCTTCCCCTTTTCCCCTCCTGTGATGGAAGGATTGATGGGGCAGTTTGAAATATTTTGGACCAATCAGGTTTGAATAACGTTAAAACAAATATTATCAGACATTCATGTTGCATTATGCAGGAGACTAAATTTATGTTTAATGTAAAAAAGCAACAACTGATCCTTAATTACGTTTGGAAAGGTGTGTGCCAATGCACTCACCGGTATATCCGTATTTTATCAAGTTGTTGTGACATCAACCTATCAGTATTCTTTATTTGCACAAAGAAGAAATAAACATGAGAAAATGTGCACTTCTGCAGCAGTCCTGAATCAAAATGAAAGTTATTGGTATGTTTGTTTACATTTCCAAAAGTCTGACCGTGCACCAAGCAAAAGAAAACAAGCTGCTCGGTGGGGAAAATGTGTTGCTCATGGTTGCTCTTGGTTGTTTTGATGATGTTTTTGGTGCCTACGTCTCTGTACTTCTAACACACAAGGTCTGCTTCTGATATCGCATTTGTAATAATCTGGCCTAAAACGCTTGGAAGGCAGAAGGAGAGATGGGCTGGTTTGAGATCTACCTGCACATTGCTCTCTCCGTCTCTCAGATGTTTTTATAGTTAAAAGAATAAACACAAGCTATGGCTGATGCACTTTCCCTTGACTTAATTTATGCATCACCCTCCAAACTTCTAAAATCTACAACCCTGAAACATTCCAAGTAAGAAAGAAAGCTTAGATCTAAGCCTCTCGCAATAGATGGATAGATATGTTTTTAATGGTTTAATCATACATATTTGATGTAATACATTCTGTTGCTCAATTGCAGCAGATTAACTGTGGCATTTGCAGGGTTAAGGGTTCAATTCCCATCGGGGCTAACCATACCCACCAACAAAAAAAAAAAAAAGAGAAAGGTTCCCTCCACATAATCTAATACAGTTTGGATAACAGCATTCACACATCTCCTTCTCTTTTTCTACGAGCCTTTTATAGCACAATCGATATAGGAATATAGGTGAGCGCTTCACAGATGAACATAAATATTTGGATCCTTCCTGCTCACAGCATTTGGCAATATTACATCTCGTTGCTTGCTCGCTCATAAATTTCCATCTCTTCCATCCCTCCTTCCTCGCCGGGTTTCCCACGGGAGGTGCCAGACGGCCAGTAATTTGGTTGTCTTGGCTCGTCTGGAGTAACACCTGCCCCCTCTCTGGGGAGGGAGAGAGCCTTTCAGCCAGGAGCATACATGGAGCCTACCACTGCCTTTAGCTGCTGACCACTGAGTGCTCTGTGTGTGTGTCTACATGTGTGTGTGTGTGTGTGCGTGTGTGTGTGTGAGAGTTTTCTCTCCTGTCTGCATGCACTTATTTCATCTTGCATTGTGAATGTGTTTGGACAGTAGAGTGTGCAGGGGGAGTATTCATCTGTATGCTAAACTGGGTTTTCACTTTTTTCCATCTTTCAAAGAGTGTGTCTGTGTACGTGTTTGTGTGTGTGTGTGTGTGTGTGTTTTTTCCCAGCTTGCTAAATGTGTTTTGGCACGTGTTCCTGCGTGTGTTGACAGGGTGCTCAGAAACTTGTCTTTAAGCTTTTGGGTCTGTCACACCCTCACCAGAGCTCTGAATTCAGTTATGGAGGCAGCTAGAATGCTATAAAAAGAGAAAGAACAGAGAAAAAAGGAGAGGAGAGAGTCTTTTTTTAAGTATTTCCTTTTTAATTAAAAATAACACCGGAAAATATGAAAAGTTTGTCCATTATAAACCAGTTGTCACACAATAACTCTACTACAAAAAATCTGCATAAAGCAACAAGTAGCCTACACAACCCTGAAGAGACAAAAAAATCTTTGGATAGAGGATATGTTTTTTTTTCTTTCTTTCTTTCTTCTTCTTTTTCTTCTTCTTCTCCTTCTTCTTCTTTCGCTATAAAATTACTTATTGAATTTTCAGAATACAAAGCAGAGACAAATAAAATGACTGAACGATCTGAGGGAAAAGCCTAATATCAGCACGTTGAAGAGAATAGGCTAAATCAAGATTTCTGTTTTTTGGTCACAGCAAAAATACTCTGAATCACATAAACCCCCTAAAATGGTGTGAACTGACGAATAAACGAATTTGTAAAGTGAAAAACACCCCACCTCCCACCGTTTTAAAAAAAAAAAATTAAAAGCCTAATTCTTTATTAAATGAGAGACATCTCTACACCAAAAAAGGGAAGCAAAATTCTCTGGGACCACTGAGCCCCACAGTGAAGTGCTTGTCGTTGTTACTGATCGACAATGAGACGTTATCAAAGCAGAACAAAAAAAAGCAAAACAAGAAATGACGCGCACACGACAAAAAAAAACACAAACAATGCAGTGGATCAACAGAAAGTGCCATTTTCAGGAACAGAAACACCATCACTTTCCAAGTTCAATTTCACAGTCTAAAATATAGAAGCAACAAACGATATACGCTTAAAAGACACCTATGATATCAACAGAATAAAAATAAATAAATAGCATAAATATCAACACAATAAATTAAATTATTCCATACACTTAAAAACAAAAAACGATTAAGGTCACAATTTTCATGTCATAAGTGGCACTTACGCATTGAATCGTTTTTTCTTCTTCTTCTTTTTCATTCCTTTAGGGAAATCGCTCCTCTAAACTAGAAAGACAGCAGCTATCTCGTTTACATCGTTTTCATTTCGAAATGTCCTCCGTGCTGGTGGTGTTGGAGCTCCACCTGATGCGTGGGGCTGTTTTGCCTCGTAGTGGGGTGTGGGCCTGATAGAAGCATGGGGGAAGATTCAACTGCGAGTCCAAACATTTTAAAAAGTCTGATGATGATTATTATCATTATCATCTTTATCGTCATTATTGTAATTTTCCGTCCTGACCTCTCTGATCCCCCCCCTCCCCAAAGTCTCTGCTCTGGACTGTAGCACTTTGGGGACGTGGATGCCTGCGAGGCTCCCATCCTCCCCCCTTTTTCCCCCCCGTGGATATCGGGAAATGGAAAGTTCTGCCATTTCTTACTTATTCGAATGTGCACTGACTGAGGTTTTCAATTGAAGCGTAAAAAGACCTATGGGGGGTTATTTTAGATTGTACAATTTCCGATTCCTCCTTTTCTTTCCTTCCTTACGTCCTTACTTCCTTTCCACCTTCAAGAGAACTAAATCAGAAACGGGGACTGTCTGCTCTAAACATCAGCTCGTAACGCCTGTGAAAAAATACTGCGCATCTTCTTTTAAAAATAAAAAACAAAAACACAATCTCTTGCATCTGTCCGACCCACAACTGGCAACCTGGTCATAACCCCCCCCCCCCCCCCCCCCCCACCCCCACCCATAACCCAGCCAGGTCATTTTCTACCACTTTTACACATCCAGCACGTGGTTGAGATAGGAGATGTAGCAGATGGCCAGTCTGAGGATCTCAATCTTGGAGAGCTTCTTGTCCGGGGGCAGGGTGGGCAGGAGCTTCCTCAGCTCGGCGAAGGCCACGTTGAAGGCCTCCACGCGGATCCTCTCGCGGGTGGCGTGTGCGGAGCGGTACTTGGCGGTGGCCCTGCGCCTCCGCCGCTTCTCCTCGCGGCTCAGCGGCTGCTCGGACTTGCATTTGGGGCCCCGGTCGTCGCCCTCCGCCGTGTCGTCCGACGTGCAGCCGGCCGACTTGAGGCCGCCGAGCAGGCTCTCCGGGTCGGACTGGGTCCAGGAGAGGTCGGCCTCCGCCTGGTCCGGGCTCAGCATCATCTTTACGCACAGGAGCCGGAAGCCACTCTTCTGGAGAAACCTGGAAAAATAAATAAACAAACAAAAAAAAAGCATGAAGAACAATAACAGAATGAATCCATTGCTCTTTTTTTAAAATAACTGCTCCTTTCGATTTGACTTTCGAGTGTTTTTTTTCCAATCACTCTTCTTTATTTAAACACGACCCCCCGCCCGAAAATACAAAAAAGTTCATCAAGAACTGTCACTGGGATTTAATTAAAAGTGTTTTCACGCACCCTGAGGCCCTCTCCAGAAATCCCCCAGCGGGTGCCCTGCTCGGGTGCCAGCTCATGCCCCCCCTCACGCACTTCATTGCATAATAACATAAACCCCCCCTTTAATAATAAATGCCACCAAATTCGAGGTAATGGTTAATTCATTACGTCTCAAGCTCTTACAAAGGAAACAAACAATGCAGAAAACCACGTTTGGTTAAGTTCAATCTCAAATATGAGCTAAAAAATACATCTTTTGAGTCAAAAGTCATGTTTAAAGACAAAGTATTTGAGTTTGATTTAAAAAAAAAAATTTTTTTGCGTGGAAACTCTTTATATTGTGAATGAACATAATCAGAATGGGCCATCTGTCAGTGTGATGAACACATCTGCTTGGGCCGGGAGAGCTGACAGCAGAGAGGATGCTGACGGCTCTGGTCGTGTTGACATCTGCTGGCTGTGAAAGCACCGCAGCTTTCTGGTTTACATTTTAAGGCACTACGAGGGAAAATTGGAAATGTTTTCTTCGCCACAGAAAAAAACGATTTTAGCCCCAAACAAACAAACAAACAAACAAACAAACAAACAAAGCAAAACCAACAAAACAAAACAAAAAGAAAAAAAATCAGATGCAACAAATACGATTATTTCTAAAGCATGTTTTCCTTTTTTTTTTTTTCCTTTCGTATTTGAGACTTACCTTGTCGAAGAGTTTTGGAGGCAATTATTGTTGCTAAATTTCTCGTGACTGGCCTCAACTCCAACTTAACTCATATTCCAACAAGCCGGAGCCAGATGTTCCAGAGGTGGACCCCTCGCAGATCTTTGGAGGGGGAAAAGGGAGCAAAGTAAAGAAAAAAATAAAAGAAAAACAAAACAAAAAAGAGATGCTACTTCTTTCACTTTTCTCAGCTTCGGACTCGCAACATGGGGAGAGCCAGAGAAAAGGGGGGGGCGCGCGTTTGTGTGTGGTGGGGGGGGTCAAACGTCAAAACATGGAAATGTCTTCAGATTAGCAGCCCCGGAGCCTGAAGTCTGCAGATCAGATCGGCTGATTTGTAGAAAAAAAGATGCTGATGCTGATTAGAGTCGGGGGGTCTTTGGAGGAGGAGGAGGAGGAGGAGGGGGGGGGGATCTCTGTGTGATCTCAGCGGCGCAGAGACAATAGGCGAGGTGGGCAGAGAGTGGGGAAAAAGTGCGGCCAGGGCTACTGGTCCATCCGCCTGTGGAGGCTGAGGATAAAGATAGAGGCTCTCCCCGGTCAGGAACCCGCGGATCGGAGGGCAGTGCATGCGCAGGTAATCCCCCCCAGTCCTTCCTCCTTCATCCGGCGAGAGTCAGATAAGAGATAAGATCCAAACGATCCCGACTAATAAAGGCTCACTTCGTGGACGGAGGGGATGGAATATATTTGAGGAATGGTATTGTCTAACACCGCCCCCTCCCTCCCTCCCTCTTTGCCTCCTCCTCCTCCTCTCAAACACTCACCTCATCTCTCTCTCTCTCTCTCTCTCTCTCTCTCTTTCTCCCTCTCTCTCTCGCCCCTCACGCCCCTCAGCCCTCCAGGCTCAGCCTCCCGTGGGAGTAGTGGGCAAAAGGGAAAGCAGAGATGTGTGCACGGTGAGATGTTCTCTCTGTGCACGTTGCGAGTTGCCGAACGTGAAATTAAGTGAACAGCAACGAGTAGGAAAAAAAAAGAAATAATCTTTTTGAATTTTTTGAATTTTTTTTTTTCAGGAAAATGATTTCAGAGAGAGGTGTGTGAGCGTGTTTGTGGCTAATAACGATGGAGATTATAGGTCCAACCCTCAATTTAGTCATAAGTCAAACTGCCTGGATTTAAACGATGATTTGCAAGCTTTTCTTGGACTTGCTTTAAACTTTGGAAAAGAGAAAAGTGACCTTTATTTGTCAATTAATTTATTTTGTGTGGCACTTCTACAGCTTTACGGCTTGTTTTGGGTTTTCCACTAATTTTGGATGTTTGTGAAGCCTTTTTCCCCCTAAAGAGCTGGTCTTTGTACATCTGAAATTCTGTAATCACGTAAATCCAGCAAAATCCAATGAAATTCAAGATGCTGGTTTTAAATGCAGGCCAAGTTTCCTTGAGTTTCCCTGAGTGATTTATCTTTACAGATTAGGCAGTATGAGATGACTTGATTGAAAGCACAAAACTGGAGTGGAAGTGAACGGAAAGAGTTTGAAAATCCTGAGGCGGAGTGACCAATGGGAGAGGGGTTCCTGATAAACTCGGTCAGTTTTTGGACACACTCCATCTTTGACTCTTGATGGATGTTGCATCAGTTTTTGGTGTTCAAGCGAAGCCACTTGAGCAGATGTGAAAGTAAAAAATGCATTTGGTGAAAGTATTAACGGCTCATCACATAACAAAATGCAGCCCTGACTACACATTGATTTTTAACACTGTGGGTCAAGTGGACTCAGAATTCAATATTCGCCCTCCAAATGCAACCGAGTGTGAATATGATATCTTAAATATTTAAGTAAAACCTTCAGTCCAGCCATAATTTCTGTAAACATAGGCAAGGGCTACTGGAAATATGAGCAATGATTTATTGAAACATTTGCCAGTGTAAGCGTGCGGTCAGGATCAAAAGCAAATACAGAATTTGTGCTGTTCTAATGAGCTTTAAAGTCCAGTGACCAATGTCATTCCTTAACACAGTCCAAACCTCCTCAGACAAGCTTTCTGTCATTTCTCTTAAGGAATAGTTCTGAATGCTTCTCTGAACGTTTCCTTCCTTTTCAGTTGGGACCCGTTTGTTTCATCTGGTGAATGTCGGCCGTTCTTCAAATCTCACAACCATAACGGAAGGTGGCCATAACTTTCTGTCAGCATGTCTTTTGGAGTTCCCTATTTGTCTGCCAAACTGTGTTACACTTCCCATAGATTCAACAACAACTAAAGTCTCTCTTTAAAAGTGACATTCTCTAAGTTTTTCACTGACATGCAAGCATTTTCTATGCAATTTCAGTTAAACTCTCTTTAAAAAAAAAACTTCCTGAGAGTCAGCCAAACAGTTTTAGTTGCCCTTTGACAAACCAAAAATGATGAAAAGTAAATGGGCCCTCTAGTGGTAGGGAGAGCAACTGCATGTCTGTCAGAGACGGTATTGTGGAGGAAAGAATTCATTTTGGTCCCAGCTGTGATGTTGTTCTTTATCCTTGACAAGAAGTTTTTATTTCTAATCACAGGCAAGTCGTGTAATGTGTTGTTGTTATATGCTATTCAGGGACTAGTAAAATGGCACCTTTGAAGGTGTGTTGCAAAATAATAGAATGTAGACCGAAGGTGTTTTCGAACCCTAACCATTTTTTTCTATTTACTTCTTAAGATTTTATGCTTGATAAGCCTCAAACAAAAGCAACAAACATATCTTTGTAATGTGGGATAAATATTTAACTGAGCGAAGCCAACATGCAGGGAAAAGAACAAACAAACAGGAAATAAAAAAACGGCCAGTGGCTGAGCAGCGTGCTCAGGAGCAAACGGCTAATGTTTGACGCGTGTTTTACGGACGGAGAAAACGGGAAAGGCTCCTCGTGCTGGGTCTTGTCCTTTCCCCGCCTCCTGTTGTGCCCCCCCCCGTGCCCGGTGGCGCTACCAGCGCCGGGTCACGGGGGGGGGGGGGGGCACCGTTCCAGAGCAGGAGCAGTGGCCAGTCGGCCTGGGCACTGGCTGCGCCTAACGAGGTGATTAAAACGATAAGGGGAAGCACGGATGAGCTGCCGTGGCCCGCAGCCACCGCCATACCCACTGCCACCACACACACACACACACACACACACACACACTCACACTCACACACAGCAGCGCATTCTGTGAGTGAGAGACAAGTACTACTACTGCACCAGAAGGACAATATCAATGAAAACTCAGCGTGTGTGTGTGTGTGTGTGTGTCGGTGAGCGGGAGTGGGGCGGGCGACCTCATGTGTGAGATGACGGACAGCTCGCCTTGGGCTCCGGCCGGGTCCTTGGAGTGTGTGTGTGTGTGTGTGACACAGAGAGGCTCACAGCGGGGTGAATTGGAGACACGTCAAGACCAGGAGACAGAGGTCTCCTGACAGCTGGAGCCCACGGACACACACTCGCACGCACACACACACACACCGCCCTAATTGCTCCACGCGCAGCAAAAAAGTGGAGATCGCCTGTTTTGCGGTGGTCTGCGTCAGCCGGACCCCCTCCTCAATCTGCCAGGCTCTGGGCCAAAGACACGAAGGACACCTCCAAGGCTGTTTTGTTGGTGCCTGCTGCAATTACATCCCACAGCTGATGTACCGAGTCTGTCGACAGGCGAGCGCTCTGCAGGGCGGTGGAGTCGCGGGAGGGCACTTAATGGATGTTGTTTAGTCACAGCGCTTACTCTTGCCTTAACTGATTTTCACCAGCCCGAAACCCCGCGTCGAATCCCGGCTCGTATTTTTATCAGCAAAACCTCTCGGATCGGCGAAAGCGTGCAAGCTGGGCGCAACTTTTTTTTGCACATTCTCAGGAGGGCCATGCGCCGAAACACACTAGGGGATAGCCTAAATCTGTGTCCTATCTGCATCCCAGTTCGCTCAGTCCAGAGCCAATCGACTCCCCCGAGCAGCTTTACGGCTCGTTTTGGGTGAATTATGCAAACAATGAAATTACCGCGACTCAGATCTAACAAGGAGGCAATGATTAGGAGAGCAACAATGGACAGAGACAGAGTAGCTCTGAAAGTGGCACAGATACTTGTAAAAATGGACATGCACTCATACTTCTGCCTCCTTGTTGTCGAGTTCCTCAGGTGCGAGACTTGTACTGATTTGTAAACCGCAAGGACGCAGCCTTTATTTCCAGGGATCTTCGTTGATCAGTTTTGGGGTGAAAAATCCCTTTGAAAATATCCGAAGTCTTAAAACGAGTTTGGTATAACAGTCAGCGCCCTTTTTTACCGTGGTTCCCATAATCATGCTCGCAGAAATAAGCCGCTCAGTGATTCAAGGTTGTGATTATTCTTTTGCCTGCCTTATATCACCAGCTGAGCCCTAATGCTGCGGTTAAATTCTCAGGAAATAATATGCAAATGTGAAACCTTTGTGGG